TCTCTCTCTCTCTCTCTCTCTCCTTCTCTCTCTCTCTCTCTCTCTCTATCTCTCTCTCTCTCTCTCTTTCTGTTTCTTGCTTTCTTCCTTTCTAGAAGTGTCCATGTTGAAAATGCTGTTCAGCACGAAATTTGTTCTCCGGGTTGTGGCCGAGTGGCGGCGAGCATGGTCAGTGGCTCCAGCACAGAGTCGCTCGGCAAAGGAACTTCCAGCCTGAAAGATGCAAGAAGGCACAAGAGCGTCTCTTTATGGATACTCAAGCACGGGGAAAGTGGCATCATTCATAGCAATGATGTTGATGGGATTCCTCTGTACACTGCTGCTGAGTGCTGGACATCCCAAATGGTCGCAATTGACTGCGCTGGTGTTTGCTGACTTGCAGCCAACTCCTTAAGTTGAAACACATGCGCTGTTTGACTCTTATGGGCTGCCCTTAAGACAAGCATCCATGGCGCCAGCCATCACATCGTTTACCTGGTCCAAAATTCACAACATAAAAGCAAAAGCTGCTGCCAATACGGGGAAGTACATATTTACATATATATATATATATGCAAGAATAAGAGTTGACAAAATGAATGTACTGTAAGGGTGCTCTATTAAAAGAGCCCTTACATATCCCCGTTAACATTCCAAGGAGACCTTGTGCAAAACATTTTGTAGATATAAATCTGCGGGCACAAAATTTGAGTCTATAGAAAGGGCGGGGTCAAGACACTCAGGCTCTATACATGTTCTCTCAACTGCCTTGCAGCTCCTTAACCATAGTGATTTTTACAAAATGCAGGGTGTCTAATTTAGTACCCACATAGGTTGTCTGCAAAAAATCGCCCGTATACGGGGCGTACGCCCACCCATTTCATAGAGGAACTGTCGACGGGGATCCTTACATTATGTTTTTCCTCATTGTTTTCTTTCTACTAATGACTTGGCCTGAACATCAGGTGTAAAGGCCCATGGACCAAGTTGAGTTGACCTGAGTCGCAGCTCTGTCGCCAAGTCCCAAACACATGCCAAATGAGGATGCCACGTGGTTGAACCAGTCAAAAGGGTCAAGACACCCCGAGAATTTGCAATGCCAGTAGCGACCTGCCATCCACAAATTCCAAAGCTTCCCACTGCTTTACAAAGGGCTGCAGCTTGGAAGGCCTCCTGCATAGGTGAATCTTGAAGTCCGACCAAGAAGTTGACCTTGCTAGTCCGAACGGCATCCCATGAAACATCGTCTTGACTCTCCTCGACTTCTCTCCTGGCCTCGCTACTTTCAATCATTCTCGAATAGATCTCACCAGCCTCATTCGGAGCATGTGAACCGAAAAAAGCACCGTGTGCAGCGAAGCTACCAACACCTAAGAAGAATACGAGGGCGGGATCTCCTTCGTCATCCTGCTTGCAGGCATGTTGCCACAAATTCAGCAAGGCGAGAGTGAGTGTCTCGTGAAAACAAAGACAGGCGCAAGCTTTGATACGAATCGTGTGTGTCTAGGACAATCTTGGTGTGCCCAGTCTGCTCTAAAAGTGTCGAGTCTGCCTCTATCTTCAGGCGAAGTCTGAGTGGCAGCTGCGACGGTCCATAGAATGGAGTGTACCTTCGTTCGTGATACTGCCGGTTGACTCCTTAAATCACTTGTCGAACAATTCCTGATTGGTATGGACAAGGCACTCTTGCAGTTTGGCAGCCAGGAGCTGCAGGCCCTGTAAAGAAGCACGTTCAGCCTCCAGCGTGGTGTGTTGAACCCACACTTCTGAACCCAACACACGAGGCCGCAGCAGGGCTTGGGGAAGCTGACAGTGAACCACCCAGCTGCACGTAGATTGCCAGACACCTCCGATTCTCACATTGCAGACTTGGCTAAGAAAAGGTGTGTGTTCCAACATAAACGGAGTGTCCAAGGATCAAACCCATCCGGCTTGAGAAGAGCATTGAGGCAAAACCTCAAAAAACGTGCAGCTGTGACAGAACACAACTGGCGAATAAGCATGAGGTCTGGACAAGCAAACCCATCTCATGAGTCCCTGGGAGGCGCTCAAAAGTACATTTACGACAATAGAACTGAATTGTAAGTCTCCAGCCGCATAGCAAATTGAGTCTAGCTGTCCATTGAACAAGCCGAAGTACGCAGTACCACCAAGTCTAATCGTTTGTGTTATTAGTTATGCTTGCTTTATGCAGCAAGTCTCAACTTCCATAGACAGCATGGAGGCATGGAATGTCAAAAGAATCAAAAAGGCTTCATGGAGTGTCAAGTCCATCGTGCGATTTCTTGCGGCCACTTTGCAAGAAGCAATCTAAAGCTTGTGACCATGGCATCCAAACTGAAAAAGCTGCGGCATGTTGAAGGCTCAAAGCAAATCCTTGCATCGGGAGGTACTCAGCAAAAAAGAGTCGATGCACCAAATCTCTTGACAATGCAGATTCTCCCGGTCACCCTGACCGTGTCACTTTCAGTTGATAGTTTGGGCAGTTCTCGCAACCTGGATGTAGTCCATATGCTGCGTGATGGTGGGAGGCCTTAGTAGCAGCGAGATTGTGGTGGTCCCACATCAAGGTGTCTTTGGCAAAGGTTCCTTTGTCGATGCCGCACTAGCTGAGTCTTGGAACATGATTTCGTGGAACTGCCTCAGCATTGAATGCTACAGTACAAAGCAAAGCTTGGCAATCAGTGCAAGCAACGCTCATGTAACGCATTTGCTCAAGACTTCAGCACGCTGAGGTTACACAAATGGGTTTCTCCGAATGGCTCAGGTGAAATTGTGACCATTTCTACCAACCAGACAGAAATCTCAACTATTCGCAAGGGAATCCGACTGTAAAGATCGCTTCAAGTGTATCAACTCTATGTCCCATGAACTTATACAGCATATGGCTGATCTCATCTAGGTGAAAATGGATTCTCTACCCACACCAGTATGGCCCAGAGCTTGAAAATAAGCGAAATTGGATCCCAGTGACAAGGCGGCAAATGGCGCACAGCGGCGAGCAAGAGCGGTGGCCCAGCTCGGACACGGTTTGCTGTAAGCCAAGCGCACAACACAAGGCACCAAGCCACAAGGCTCGTTCACTCAACCTGCTTGTTGCATAACCCACCCAAACAGTACAATGCACCACCCATTTGCTTCTCTTTTCCCTGGTCACGTCGGCGAGCTCAAGATCATGAGGGTGCTCCGATCGGTCCTAGGCTGTTCGGCGCAAATATGATGTCCAGCTCGTGCAGCAAAAGGCTGTGGGCGACGATCCAGCTCATAGCTACCTGCCAGCACTCTGCAGGTACAGGCCATCCTCAAGAAGCAAAGCAATATCGTCGATAGCGACAAGAAGGTTTCAAACTGGCACCAAATCGCGTGTCCTGCACCTCTTCTGCGGTTTCTGGCTGTCCAGGTCGACGATGTACTTCTAATTCCCTGTCACGACTTGCAATGGCTGTTTCTGATCTTCGGTCCAACCACCCTTCATCGAAGCTTGGCCGAAAAGAACACCCTTGTCGACTCCCCACATCTCACACAGCCTCTCCAACAAAGCGCGCTGCTTTTGCGGAAGTTGTTGGAGGGTACTTCTGATGTCCTGCAAAGTGGCAAGAACCCGCAAAAAAACAGTGCAATGTATATAATTATTGCAACCAGCAAAAACTAGGCAAACCATTTCTCCCGACAAAGACCCAGACCATCCCGACCTTAAGATTCTTTTGTACAAGCCGTCCCTGCGGCGTGTTGAGCGTTCCACTCCGTTGGTGCACCTGTGCAAGGCTGTGCAACGTCACACCCCGTTGAATCCAGGGGGTCATAGTCATTCGTTGAATCTGGTGCTTGGAGGCCATCGCGAGCAGGTTGGAGGCCATCGCTAATAGTAACTCAAAAGATCACAAATCTCGCAGGCATGCCTTCTGTGCAATCTCGTAGGCATGCTGGGCTCCGGCTATATCACCACTGTTGCGACGCATGTCCCCAATAACAACCACCTGGGTTGATGCGGCATCTGTTCGAGCGTGAACAAGAACAAAGCTAAGCTTCCAACATGTGTGAGTCGCAATTTCTCACTGATGTGTTCATTGTGCAAGAAAGCTCGCTCTGCCTGCAAATTACTTACAAGAAGCTGCTGAGCTACTGTGACATCAAAAACATAGGACCTGAATGCCAGGAGGACACCCAAGTCCCGCAAAAGTCAGATTGCAACAAGGAACATGAACTATCCCCCGACTCTGAATAAATGACATCGCGGATTGAAAGACCTGCCTCTTGAAAAGCTTCAAGGCCTCACTCAGAGTTGAAACATGAGACAAACGCTGGCTGTTTGAGTGATTTCTGAAACTGGATATATAAATACCAAACACGTGTCTTCAACGTCTGCAAATCATGCCTGGAACATCTGACTTGCTGGGTAGGCTTCATACATATTCAGCTTTTAGAGAAGTGTCAGCCTGTTCCACTACTTCATGTCACAATGTGTGTGTGTAACCCTTGGAGTCATAGGGATCCTTTTGGATTTTTCAGGTTTGCCTTTCCGTTTTGTTTCACAGCAGGGGGCTCTTGGAGCCTGCATGAGACGAGAGCCAACGAAGACTCTCATGCAGTGCTTGTGTAAACGTACCTGCTTGGTGCACCTGGGCGCATTATAAGCCGCAGCTGGTGGCCACCCTTCTTCCCTTTGTAAAGTGCTAGTGAGCTCCGCAGACTTGCACGTTACGCCGTCACCCCGTCGGTCCGTTCTTCGCCTTGAGCTTTTGGCCTTCTTTCCTCTTAAAGTCCTCCAGGTTCCCGTGGTTCGTACATGTACTCTTAGGAAATGGAACCCTAGTACACAATATCCTAAGTGTGTTTGGCCTTGTGCCAACCCGGGATGAGCCCGCAGAGTGCCTCCCGTGGACCCGTCGAACGGGTGTACGTCGTTATCTCCCCTGCCCGGAGATGTAGATGCCCAGAGCGGGCGAAGGTGGCCTAGGCCGTACGTACGATGATTTTTGTCTCATCTTTGGAATTCCAAGTTGGCCCATGCCTTCACGTGACCGCAGCGGTCAAAGCAGCCAGCCGTTTCGGCACGGCGTACGTGGCCGCAGCGGCCGAAGTTTGTTCAAGGTTCATTGGAACCTGTGGAGAACTTAGCCCCCTTCTCCCCCTGCCCTCCCCCCTTTCTTTCCTTGCTTTCTGGGGTTTTCCTGAATGTAATACTCAGGATCTCCCCTTTCCTCCTTTGGTGTGTCCCTGGACGATTGTTCGTAGCTGGGAACACCTTCCTTTCTCTCCTCTCCCTTTCTCTCCCTCTCTCTTTCTTTCCTTCTCTTTTTCCTCTCTTTACCCTCTTCCTTGGGCGTCCCTGGATGCTTTCGTCATAGCTGGGAGCCCTTCCTTTTTGGTGTGTCCTTGGACGCTTGTGCCGTAGCTGGGAACACCTTTGCTTCCTTCTCTCCATCCTTCTCTTTTCCTCCTCCCCTCCCCCCTCTTTCCTCGCGCGTGGCGTATTTACAAGCAAACTAGGCTTTTGCAACAGGTTTCTCAATGAGGTTTGGACTGTCATCGGTTTGCCCCCTTTCATTTGGTTCCCCTTTCATCCGCCCCCACAGACCTTTTTTTTCCTTCTTTCCTTTCATGTCCTTCTGTCTTCATGTCTCTTCATCCTCATCCTCTTTCTCTTGCGCGCACTATCGTCCGGACCTTAGTTTGTACACATACACGCACGCGTACTCTACTTACAACGAGGTTCAGGTGGCCCAGGTTCGTTACAATGAGGTTTGGCTCATCGGTTGTCCCTCTTCACTTGGTTCCTTTTCATCGGCAACCACACACACCTTTGTCTGTCTTGTCCTTCTCATTTTCATCTGTCCCTTTTGCGTGCACATGTGCCTACCTCCTTTCCGGGCAGGATGGAGGTCACACATGCCTCCCTTCGGGGAGGCGTGTGTGTGTAACCCTTGGAATCATAGGGATCCTTTTGGATTTTTCAGGTTTGCCTTTCCGTTTTGTTTCACAGCAGGGGGCTCTCGGAGCCTGCATGAGACGAGAGCCAACGAAGACTCTCATGCAGTGCTTGTGTAAACGTACCTGCTTGGTGCACCTGGGCGCATTATAAGCCGCAGCTGGTGGCCACCCTTCTTCCCTTTGTAAAGTGCTAGTGAGCTCCGCAGACTTGCACGTTACGCCGTCACCCCGTCGGTCCGTTCTTCGCCTTGAGCTTTTGGCCTTCTTTCCTCTTAAAGTCCTCCAGGTTCTCGTGGTTCGTACATGTACTCTTAGGAAATGGAACCCTAGGCCGGCGTGTGGCACCGCATTCAGTTCAGTACACAATATCCTAAGTGTGTGTATGATTGCTCATGGACGCCACATGTCGTCTTCTGTCACCTGGCAGAAAACCTTCAAAGTCAAAAACACAAAACGCACAACCAAATTTGCAGCTCTGGTACTTCCATCCAAATCCCCCATCTCTTCTCTGGCCAGTGCTACTTCGTACCTACCGCATTTCCCGACAACAAAGCATGCTGATATGCATTGCTGCTTTTCGGACAATAAGCTGGTGTAGGTCTCTGTGTAGTTCTTGCTGGTGTTCCTGTAAATGTCGAGAGCCTCCCAGTAGCTGTCAAGCATGCTGAACCATACATCATATAATATAATAGAACAGAATATAATAAAATATTCTAGTATATTACCTTGTATGACATTGCATTATATTACTTTTTAAAATATTATACTATATATATATATGTTTTGAAAAAGGATAACAGGGATCGAAGAGTGGGAAGAGGACAACAGCTCTCTGGCCTTCTCAAACGATTCTTTCTCACCTCAGGAAGGCCGAGCCGAAACGTCTGGCGAAGGCGGTCAACAAGGATGCTACTAGGGGCTCCGGGCATCGCTACTAGGAGCAAGGGCCTTACTACTAGTAACAATGTTTGCTAGTAGAAACAAGAATTAACTAATTCTTGTTACTACTAGTAAGGCACTTGTTACTAGTAGCGATGCACTTGTTACTAGTAGAAACAATAAGTAAATCTCCAGATGGCCTTTTCGGTCTCCGCGCTGCCCAGCTGTCGCACCCACATTGTGCACCTCAAACGGTGTTTCTTGCGAGTTTCGGTCTGAGCACATCTGCACCAAGGAACAAGGATCGCATACAATGGATGTGCTTTCTTGTCAAGTGTAACGAAGATCTCTTCGGCCTGACGAAAGGTGATCCATCTATTCTGTCGGCTCAAACACTGAGTCAGACTATCCCTTTTGGCTCCTCTTCGTAGACATCCAGAACTTTCTCCATGTCCTGATCTCTAAACTGAAACACTCGCAATATCATGCGGCAACGAACTCATGTCATGAATAGAACAGTTTCTCCTGACTCGGCTGCTTGGAAAGAGACACGCCGATCTGCAGACAAAAGTCAGGCATTCAAGATCTTGGAAGAAATGATCGTGCAAGGGGATCTGTCACAAAACCATTCCAGATTCCAACCCGAAGAAGAAGCTCAGCGTGTCGGATGGTTTGCTCACATCGAGTGGTAAGGCACAGCCGCAGGGCAACCTCAGACGAAACAGGAGCAATGATCCAAATCGACACCTCACCACTCACCACTCGCAGCCCTCATACAATGTGTATATATATATATATAGTTAGATACTAGATATGTATGTAAACATCGGCACCATCAACAGCTTGCTGGACCTTCCAGGTGGCCATCTCCAGCTCCACAGCCTGCAGACCGTGCGCGGCCTCAGCAGAAAGAAGACGGCCTCAACAACCTGTTCGGCGATGAACGACCTGCGGACCCTGCGAGGCCAATCTCTTTCAGCATCTCAGTTTGATCAGAGAGTTGAAGAAAGTGGTCCTGAAGGAAAACCGAGCTCGGAAGGTGGAGACAGGGATGATATAGTACTCAAGACAGTCTGAATCAGAGCATCGTTACTCCCATCCTCCCAAACAAAGGACTCCATGACAAAAGCCAGTTCCTGCAGGGAGACACCAAGCAAAATGCACGATTACTTTTGGGCCCCCGTCCTCATACACTTCAAGCTTCTGGCTGAGTGCCACAGGACTGCGAACAAAGAAAATCTACCAGGTCTCATGCCAACATGCAAAGGCAAACGCCTGGGATTTACCAAAGTCTTATTCTAGTTGTGGCGCCTAGATGTGTTGGAGTCCATGGCTGACCCGATGTCAGCAAGCAACTGAGGAGTGAGGCATGAACCGACTGTCATAGCCTGTTCCTGCACCTGAGGAGTCTCAAGACACAAGTAAGAATACAGTTTGCGGCATGTATTAACAGGATGATCTCTTCCACACGCTCACTTCGGCCTGCTTTGCCTGGTGGTATGCCAGCAAAGCAGAGCTATCCTGACATTTGACTATCAGCCCTCTATCTTTGAGAACAGTATCCAGGCGCTCCTCGTGTCTCCGGAAATGCCACTTGCCCAGTCTCCAAAGGAGCAGAGCGCTTGGTGATGGCCTTCAAAAGAATAATAAACATGGGAAAATGTGACATTCCCTGGAACCACCAGGGCTGACCACAGCTCAACCCTGCCAAGGGTTGGTCGATTTGTTTGAGCTGAGTTGCTCCAAATTGGCCCTCCTCTGCCTCAAGCAATAAAGGTTTTGCTCAGGTTTGCTCTGCTGATCTAATCTACTGTAACATTCAACAGCAGTCCAGAAAAGACTCATGACAAGGAAGCAAATGCCACAGCACGTGCCTTGAGCAACCAGTAAGCACTGCCACAAGTCCAAGCAACGCAAGTGCCGCCACAGTTCCCGAGGCTATTCTGCACATCTAAGATGTGTTCGGGATGAAACCTCCGGCGCCACAAGGTCGTGCAGGACTACCAACCTACATCTACGGAGAACCCCAGCCTGCTGAGTTTCCTTCATTGACGCAATCCAAGAAGACCAATCAGAAGACGCCACATGGCAGAGACACTTGTGCTTTGCTACGCATTGAACTATCAGCCATGGGTGCTTAGCTTTGCAAGGGCCTACTTGCAGCTACCAGGTGCAGCATCACAAAAGCAAGAAATAGATTGCTTGAAAGAAGACAGGTGCCGCCTGTGTCCTGCTCTTTAGGATCTTGAGATCAAATGAACACATTGAATCTGAGCCGGAAATAACTCACACTTCATTATACAGTTACGCATATTATAGTACTCACAGGAGAGTGCTCCAATTGGCAAGACTGAAACAAATGCATTTAAGCAACGCACAAGGCCCTTTCCGCTGGACGATAAGACGATAAGCTGCAGAGTGAGCCACTGAAGCAGCTAGTGTAGAGGGCCACCATTGAATACACTCTCAATCAAATCTCGGTTGACTGAAAAGTGCTTGAACTTAAACTTGGTTCCTTTGTCGCGCTGCACCTAACATTCCGAAAGGGAAACCTCTCGTGTTCCACAAGCGGTTTCTCTAAATGAAGCAGACCCTCTATCTCCGCACTCTGTTTCAAGAATAGCCAGCATCAACTGCTCAAGCAACAATCGCATAACTTCCAAGTTGCCGCAAGTCAGCATCAACTGGCAAATGTCCATCTCACCGGGATCGAAGCTTCTATGGCTATGGTTCTGTGATACCTATTTATATCGCAGAAAGCCTGACATACAGTACAGTGAGTGTTGTTTGATGTCTCTCCTTTGAATGAATCATTGTCATGTCTTTTTGCGAAAGCGTTCCATTCCCGGCCGCGTCACACGGCCATTCCAGAGTCTCCTGCGCAGCAACGTAGGACGGGATGGTCTTTGTGGAGTGGTTCTGCGTACCAAGATTGGCATTGCTATGCTCCTAAAAGCACAAGCGTCCAATGGCAGCCATCGTAGTAAGGTGCCTCCAAGGCAAGACCAAACAATCATCATGCTGCTAAGCTGGAACAAGTGAACACTGTGTCTGGCCTGCTCTCCCCGGACAGCCTGCTGCTCCTCCCCAAATCTACCTGTCAAACAAAGCACGTGCGCAAAAATCTAGACTTCTGCCCCCTCATTGAACCCTGAGGGTGCGGCCGCTTTGATGGCTTCTTGATCTTGGCAGAGTGAAAAATCAGGCAAGTCACAAGAAGCACAAGAAAGAAACACAATCGACCGCTAGATTGCCCCTTGCTGCCAAGATTCCACAGCCTTTGGTTTTGCCTGGACTGAAAACGATGCAAAAATGGAAATCAAAAGTTCAACAACTGGAGTTCCCGTGGCGAAGCGAACGCACAGTGGGAAGGGCTATTTTCAGGGCATCAGGCAATCCTCTGCCGGCTGCACTGTCACCAACTGGATGGAGATCAGGTTCTCGATCGCTCCAAACTTCCTCTTTGGCGTTGTCGAACATCGTTTCCATGTGATTCGATCGGCCCAAGTGATCCGATTCACAAGGGGCGATCACGGCCAGAAGACGTTCTGCTCAAGGACCCAGAGATGCCCGACCGCGAGGGGGAACGAATTCGTCCGTCTCCCAGACCGGAAACATCGCTGCGTGCTCCACAGGATGTACTTCGCTGTCTCATCTCATCACTTCGCAAGACTTTTGGACCGCGAGATCCTCCAAAGGTGCCGAAGCCTCCATCTTCACCAATATGACTCAAAGGTGGTTGTCGACTTTGCGAAACAAGTCTTGCACGTTGAGATACGCTGGTAGAAACGGATGAGCACTTGTCACTCTCATCATTTACTTCTCTGCTATAAGCAAAACTACATCTGCAAACGGGGCACAAGCCCTCAACCCAGTATGGCATCAGGCATTCAATGAGAAATACATGATCACACTTTCGAGGCCTGACACGTACAGCTCCAGGCGGAATACTGTGTCCAGAAGCAGAGCAGGCATCAAACTTATCGCTGGTGAAAACCACCACATCACCCAGAGATTGCAACCGTCGCTTCAAAGCTTCGAGGGTTTCATCATCAAGAGGACCTAAAGAAGCAAATTGAGAAGCAGCTGCACAAGGAGATGGGACACTTCGCTGATGTGCGTGCGCCGAATGTGCGGAATGACCGTTTGCATTTTGAGAAAAAGGAATTGCACAGGGATTGGGAGATTGCTCTCGTTCCCCTCTTTCACCTCCTGTACCTGACATCTGAAGAAGCGAGTGAGAGATTGATTGCGCTCGGGAGAAAAGGTCTGATTGTGACTGTTGAAATTCCCTCACAAGCTTCTCAAGCTCCATGGTCTTTGAAACCACTTCGCGCTTCAAAGCTGTAGCATCTGAGACTTTCGAGGTGGTGTGGAGCTGCAACTGCGAAAGCTGCATCTGCAGCTGTCTGTTTTGTCCTGGGATAAGGAAACCAGAGTGTCAGTGACTTGAGAAGGAAGGGGTCAATGGTCTTTAAACTCTTGATTACAAGGGAACACACTAAAGAGCTGAAGGAGGATTGCCAACCTGACAACAAAAGAGGGGTAGGAACAAGAACGCTACTAGGGGCTCCTGGCATCGCTACCAACTAGGAGCAAGGACGCTACTAGGGGCTCCTGGCCTTACTACTAGCAACAAGAAGCTAATAGAAACAAAAAACTAGAACTAGTAGCGTCCTTGCTCCTAGTAGCGATGCCAGGAGCCTAGTAGCGTTCTTGCTCCTAGTAGAATTGCCCTTTGTTCCTAGCAGCTTCTTGCTCCTACAAAGTCAAGCTTCCTTCGACTCCTCGCAGCTGCTCGGAAAGGTCCGACACGCGACTTTGCCGACGTCGTTGTTCATCGCGAATTTGCTCACGAAGAGAATCGGCTTCCCGCTGCAGGCGTTCCATGTCCAACGTCCTCAGGCGTTCCATGCAGCCCACAACCACAGCAACCCTGAGTTGTTCGTTCCATGAAAACTCTAAAAACCCCGCAAACACAGGGGAACCAAGTCCTGCTCCGGATCTCTTCATGCAAGCGCCGCGTCTCTTGCTCTAACAGGTGCTGGCTTTCCTCACATGGGTGTGCCTGGCTTGGCGACCTGGAGAGCGCCTCCGGTCGATATCCACTGGGCAACATCAGGTCACCGATCTCATCAGAACTAAGGGGCGCATTGCAGCACCAAGGTGCTGTGTTGTGCTGCTTCCACTTGGGCAAATGCTCACACAAATGAAAGAATCCAAATCACACAAAAATGGCTCACCTTGCAAGACGGAAAAAGAAGCTGACCAAATGTGCATCGTAGATCGTACGGCAAAATGTCGAAGCAAACCTGAGGGGCTGGACCTTGGCCTTGGCTTTGGACTTCGGCTTTGGGGTTGCCTGCAGTTGTAGTTGGTCAATTTTCGAGCTTTAGGCTTGAGAAAATGGGTGTCCAAATGCTTCCAAACTGGAAACTCGCCTTGCCGGCTTTCGCCTTTGCCTTCGCCTTGGCCTTGGCTTTTGCCTTCGCTTTCGGTGAAGCCTGATGAGGCAAACCGAAGAGGCTAGTGGCATCAAGTAGATGTAGCTGAGGCATCGAATCCAATTCTCATATATAATCATCTCTTGTGTTGTCTTTTCCACCTTCGCCTTTGCTTTCGCTTTGGCTTTGGCAGCCCCTTTAGCTTTGGCAGCCGGCTTCGCCTGCAAGCACAGCTGGTCTGGTCACTCAGGTCATGGTGTGGTATAGTGCCAGAACCTTCACTACGTCTTCAGCTCCGTCATTGTCTTCCTGTCAGCTCGCCAGCTCCATCCATTGGAAGGCAAAATGTTACTGCAAGCCCATGCTGAATGCCTCCTGTAAGGCTGACTCGATGAGCATCTCCTTCACCTGCTCAGGAGTCAGGTGTTCCTGAGCAGGAATGCAAGATTTGAGAAGAGCCAGGCGTGATCATGAAGCATGCAGTTAAGCCACTAAATCACCATCTTCATACTTGATTCGATATAGCCCTCGGCAACACAAAACTGTGACCAACTCTGCCGGGGAATGCCCTCGACAAATTCATGTTCCAAGTTCGAACTGGCAGTGTGCAACAAACACTACTGTGCTGCAAAGACACTTTCCTTGGTGATCTTCCCCTGTTCGATCTCTTCAACATGCCCAAAATACTCTTTGCCATTCACTTCTCGCCGGATCTGAGCATGTCGGAGGGGGTCAACCTTCACAAAGGTGGAGCCAAGTGCTGGAAAAAGAAACACGTCACAAACATGACATACGTCACGGAAAGCAGGGAGAACCAGCGGTTGAGAATTTGCAATACAAACAAAAAATGGTGCCTCCTTCTCTGCCGGTGGAATGTCTTCGAGCTCTTCATTCAAGTCCCCACCCTGACCAGTCGGCACTAGTTGTAAAAGAACATATCGGCACAATCTACCTGGAGAAAGCATCATGTATCAATGAAAGTCAGGTCCAAAGGACACGAAGACCGCAAACAGACACAATGAAAGAGCAACTGTCAAGCAGGCAAAAGAACAACGGATAGAATATTTCGTGCAGTGTCCGGAGTATGTTCGAAAGACTTTACTGAGATTGGCAGGACCTCGTTGACATAATATACACAATATAAGTGATATATATATATATGTATAGTACTTGAATACACACCACAGTACCTACATGCAAAATAGCAAACGTGCTACTCCAATAAAATAGCAAACGTGCTACTCCAACAAAAACAACCTTAAGTGACTGGATTTTTTGGCGTTTGTGTCAAGCCGAACGATTGATGTGTCTCGTGATGGTACTTTTGGTTTCTTCTGCAATCTCCCACAAGAGCCTGCTCCTGGGGATCCATGATGACCTCAGCCCAAATTGAAACTCAGCAGGGTACCAAACAATATTCAATCAAAAATCAAAAGCTTTTACCAAATCACCGTATAACCACCAAAGTCTACGAAAAGGCATTCGGATAGGAATGCAATAGCAAACTGAGCACGAACGAAGTGCACCCTGAAAACGGACATTGAGCCATGATCTCATGGTGGGACACGACATTGGCGGCGTCTCGCTGAGCAGTTTCTACTTGACATGACTGTACATCTTACTGTACATGCTGTTACATGCTAGGGTCCTCAAATGAAGACTCCCCCTCCCCGTTACGGGGGTGACGGGCGCCTTTAACAAAATAATAGTGCAATCACTAGCTTTTGCAAATCGGTGCGTATGCCAAAGAAGCAGGACAAGGTATCCCCATGCAGAGGTGTTGGATTTGACGTCATGCTGATCTCCTCCATAATCCTCATCAACAAATTGGCTCTAGATCTCCTCTTCAGCCACTTCTTGCTCTTCCTTCCTCCTCCTCGCCCTCTGACGCGCAGCTGCAAAGCTGTCGTCCTCAGGCTCACCGTCGTCGCCTGGACCTGGGTCTGCGTCTGAGGCGGCAGTCTCAGGGGCTGGTTTGACGAAGTCGTCCACATCTGCATTCTGAGGGGCGTCTGCCTTGATCCGCGACGGAGTCAGCAGCTTCGCGGGCTCTGGCTGGTGGGCTTGGTCAGGTTGAAGTCTGCCCGAAGGTATTCAGTCCTAGCTGAGCGGTCGAATAGACGGCTTCCAGCTTGCAGAGTACGTGGCTATGGGAACGTGCGGGGGAAGCGGCTAGACTTGTTGCGTTGTCTGTGGAGGATGGCAACAAAGCACCTCATTCTGGAAGAATCGCCGCCCAAGATTCGTCCGATAATGACTCCGTCGTCTTTCGTGTCTACCACCTGTCCGAGAAATGGACGATGTACGGCGTGCTGCCACAGACTTAATAACCGGAAGGTCCAGGTGACGCCGGTGAGACGGTATGTCAACGAAGCCAGGCGCGAGGTGATGAAATCATGCCTTTGAGCGTAGACTTTGTCTGTCTCCAAACTGGTCTTTCTGTCCACCTCTTTGGCGGCGTTTTGGACGAACTTCCCCCTCGTGAACGGCCTCCGCACTAGGCACGGTGCTCCGCGGCTCCGCCTCCTCCTCCGCCCCAACCTCTGCAGCCACCACCTCGTCCAAATCCATGGTCGTGAACCCAAGCGGCTTCATTGCCGTCGAAGGCAATATCTGAGTTTTGGGGTGGACTGATGGGAGCGAACGTGTTGGGATTTTCGAAGTGCTCCACTGGAGGGGGAGTGGACTGAAATTCCGAAGAGAGTCGGCGACTATTTACTCCTCTTCAGGCTCTTGCTTTGGCTGCAAAGGTAAACTGAGCACGTGGTGGGGCGGGGACTTTACGAGTGGCACTGGCACCCAAGTTCTTAGTCCCTGTATGGTCGGATGCGAAATGCACCAACGAAGTGCACCCTCAAACGGGACACGGATGCACGAATGCGCGCCGTTCGATGTCACGGTCGGACAGGACGTTTGTGATGTCTCGGTGAACCGTTTCTACTTGACATGACTGTACATGCTACATGCTGGTATGTGCTAGGGGCCCTCAAATGTTCACTGAAAACCCTCTTGTTGAAAAAATGCTCAAAAGCCGGAACTTGCAGCTCAGGAACAAAAACTCAAGCAGCGAGGTCTCTAAAATGTGAAGCTCTTAAGCCATCAAGCGAGCTGCGGCAAAGAAAGTGTCACAACTCATTTCAGGCGGGCAAAACAACTCGCTAGGTAGCTCAATCATACCATAAACAACCTCCTACAAACAGCAACGGATTAGAGCCCCCTAAATTCAAAAAAAAACATAAACCCAGCTGACAACCCCAGTAGCAAAGCATGCACCAAGATCTGGCGAATATTTGGGGTGTGCGTTGTTCGATGACACCGCGTGCTTTCCTCCATCAAACACTCCTTTCTAGTCGGCGACGTGGCAAGTGGCCTGGGGGTGTCAACCTCAGGAGGGCGGTAGCCACTTTCACACACAGGCTGAGGTTTGTAGTCCGTGTGCAAAGTAGAGTGAAGACGCTTGGCTTGCTTCTGCCACCCCGGTCCAGAAGAACTCCATTCGACTCTCTTTCTCGCTCCCAGTATCTCTTGCTCCCTTATCACGTCACACAAGTGCTTCGCACCAGCGCAATGCCGATGCTGTTCATAATACTGCATAGGATTCTACAGTCCACTCTCAGCTCGTCTTGTTGCCTGAATGACGGCAATGGTTTCAATAAATTCCGGTTCAAACCGAGAAAGGGTTCTGGGAAGCCATCCAAAAACATGTGGGTTGCATTTTTCAAATCCTGTCCAAATCCATCTCACCAGTGTTCAACCAATCACTCCGCAAAAAGCATTCCAATGTTCAAGACAGACATCTTCGACAATTTCTGAGAGCTACACTCGTCTGCCAGACCTTAGACAGCGACCGGACAAGAAGGAGTTGGTAGTTGCAAAATAGGTATAAGTATCAATACTCACACACTGCTACTTGGTTAGGAGCCAAGAAGAATGAAAAAAAACGCAGCAAAACTAGACCAACATGGCGGCTTCAATCAAGGGCTATCATGGATTGTTGAGGCCGATAGGTCTTCTGTGGGTTTTGTCTTTCATGCTCTAACAAACAATAAAACCATTATTTTGAGCATACCAAATAATAGACTTGAGCCTCAGGTCTTCTGAGAAGCAGGGGAAGAAAGAAGCACCTTCAACATGGCCATCCAACCGTCGCGCTTTTGATGCAACTCTCTTCAGCTGGGTGCCCCAAGCAGGAGTGCTGTAGGGATTGCCATCAGCCACTGGTGGCACTGCCACCGTCTGATCCACTGCAACTGGGGGCGGCGCCATGCTGTAGTTCACGTTGACCTGAAACAAAGAGATGAATCAAAGCATGTGCATTTCTTTCAGAGATGAAGCTAAAATCACATCACGTGCAAAGAAGTCTAAGCACCTAAGCACCGGAAACATCTTGACCATTTCACTGATGTCTCTAGGATGCCAAAACTACTTCACCTAAACTTGGAAATGGAGCTTGGCAGATTGAACACACGCAAGATACCCTTGCGTTGCTGACACCACACGACTTGAAGTCTACAGTAAGTCCTCAGCCAGATTTGTTGATGATAATCTACTCATTGGAAAACTGGGTTGTAGAGTCCGGCAACTCTTCAGTCTTCTGCAAAGCTGTTCCAAGTGAGTTTCATCTTCTCAAGTCCCAGCATTAAATCACGTTGAGATGTCAATGAATTTTCTTGTTTGTGAAACATCAATGCCACATGGTCACGCCAATTTGTCACGGCTAAAGTTCTCACAATGATTGCTAATAGATTCCTCCCAAGACACGGTCTCAAGCTTCGGTGGCGGATCGGCAGACCTGACCAATGTCATAATAGAAACTGCAGTCATCCAAGAGAACCACACAACCGTCATATGACCCATGTCGCTCCGCAACTTCGTCGCTTCAAAGCTAGGAACCAAGACTCCCAAGTTGCCTACCCATTCTTCACAGGACCCGTAGAGGGAAATTTCCGAGTTACGGAAAGAAGCTTGGAGAGTTGGCGAGAGAGGTAGAAGTGTGAGTTCACATATGCATATGACTTTGAAAGTTAAACCAGCTAACAACCACAATAGCAAAGCATTCACCAAGATCTGGCGCATCTTTTCTGCGTGCGTTGTTCGTTGCGATGCTCTTTCACAAATCAAAAATCAAGGACAGTTTTAAGAAAAAAACACAAAAAATTAACTGCAATACAATAGTTTATACACAAAATCACAAAAACAATTCAATATCCAAGCTAAATGTAAGACCACGAAGCACTTAAGAAACGTTCGCCAATGGCCGAATTGTATGTTCAAGTGTTCAAGTGTCTGCGTGGCGTATACGTCTGAAGAACCATGTTCTTCTCTGCACAACAAACGATTGGCACCAAGGAGGGGTGTGTACAGTATAAATTAAATAGTCTTTATTTTTCTTATCACGTATGCGTGCAACTAGTGCAAGTTTGATTCGGACAAAAAGTGAAAAGAATAGATTTTTTATGGATGATGACGAGATATTTTCACCATTTTTCCAAGCCGAAGGCAAATGCCTGTGACCGTTCAAATGAATTACGAATTAAAAAGCAGGGTCCAACCTCGCAGCCCGACAACAGTCCGGCCCCATAGTCCCCTTTCGTGCACCTGACACAATATCGGCACATCACCAGCAAAAGCACTCCCAATCACCATCACATGTGGTCGCGGCAAGACCATGAAAACTGGTGGCGGGTCAACCGGGACAATGTTGAGCTCTTGCCATGGGCGGCAATGTTGCCAGAGGCTCTCACACTGTTCCTCAGCCCTACTCGGTCGATCAAAACTACAAATAGCCGAGTACTGCTGCACCATGACATCAGCACGGCAATGCACCCAAAAAGTTGCTGCTCCTTGGGCAACGTTCCATCCCCGTAGATACAGAGTCAGAGGAGTGGGGAGGGTAGTGGCCCCTTGCATCATACTTGTCAGATCCCCTAACCGGACCTCTTGGGCAGTTTCGTCACACGAAGTATCTCTACCATGGTCTCGGAATAGGAACTTGAAACTTGTCGCATGCGGTTCTTCGACGACATCGAAAAGGTTCCATTCTTTCGAACCTTCGTACTGCGTCAAAACACATCGATATCGCAGAGGACCACAAAGATGCAAGAGGTCAAGTCTTCGGGCCACTTCTCGGACTGTATCTCCTACAGACACACGGACAGCAGTTCTTCGTGGAAGTCCTTGGAAGAGGATATCAATCAAGAAAATTCTCTCCTGGGCAGCCTGCTGTCGTCGAGTCAAACCAACAAGGTGGAGTGATGAAACCTTCAAACTCAAAGGCGGCATTTCAGGGTGTACCAACGCAATCATGAATGGGCTCTCTTCATGAAAATCGGCCCATTCCAGAAGGAAAGCCCGTGTGAAAGGTTGATCCTTTACATAGGCACAATTTCGAGCAGTGAGCATGATTTCACCCGTACCCATCCAGGTCGTAATGGAATGGACAGGAAAACGATGGAGTGGCCGGAGAGTCATGAGGTAGACCGTAAGAGGATCATCATCAAAGCCTGCCATAGGATCGACAAGGACTTGCCCATTACGTGGCCAGAGGACATGCCTATCCAGCTCGAGCCTCGTATGCAAATCCAAGTCTTCACTCGCAAAAGCTTCTGCCCATGGGAGTTGCATGCCTAGAAATTCGTCACCCTCATGCGTCCCATAGCTCCGTCGGGATGACGTTCTTGGTCCGGCAGGGAGTGTATCTAAACAGGCATCTTGCTCTTCATAGAGCAGCGCAAAGCTGGATCCGTGGACTTCATCGACAATGTCACCAACGGCCCAGACAGGGTTCAGACCTCCTCGGTCCTGAAAAAGGAAACATCGTCTGGTTCTGCAACGTTCACTGTACCCAATTCGCCGCACAAGATCATCCACAGTCTCTGTTCCACTGCAGAGAAGGGCAATTGTACTCGGAATGGGGTCTGGCCAACCTGTGATCAGGTAGACCCGATACCCCAATCGCAATTTGGAAATCGGTGCACCGAGATCATTGAAAACCATCTCATCTCGCAACTTGATCGCCCCTGAGAGTTCCTGAGCAAAACCAATCTCTTCACCGTTGGTAATATCATGCCAAGCATCGAGAAGGCATCTGGTCAGGGACAAATCTTGTGCAGGAGTGCAAAACCGCGGAACATATCCAAGTTGATGCACATAAGTGACAACCCAAGACTGAACCGATCGATGCAGCATCCATGAGCGTCCAGTTGCTTTGTAAACATACTCGGCCAGCGTATCTTCATAGTGCAGGATAGCATAGCTGGCAATAACTCCATTTCCAAGAGGCCACAAAAAAATCAGTGAGAGGTCCCTCGAGAGTTGCAGTGTTTTCTCTCAGAAACAAAGAACTCTGCATCAGTGTGGTCAGCTCATCATTAATCAGAACCTCTTGTCCAGCAGAATGTCCAGTTCGAAAGGAATCCTCTGAGGCAGTATCACTGTAGGCACCATCATGATTCGAACTACAAGTCGAATCACTGGCATCATCATGCGGATCAGTCTCATGGAGTGTGATGAACGCCCCTCGAAACAGCGGAACAATCTCCCCCCATTCATAAATCTGAACACCATTAGCCGTAACCATGTGCACAGTACATTCTGTCAGCCAAACGCATTGGTTCATTGGGATGGCTTGTACAAAAATACCGTGAACATCGGGATAGCCAAGGAAGTAGAACAGAAACGTAGCTCGAAAATTTTCTGTGTCAGACACATAATCAAGCAAAGCCGGATAGATTGCGCTGACTTGGAATGTCGTCAGGATGAACTGTGGGCGCCTTTCCCCCAGGCTTGGTGGGACAGGGTTGACCGGGTAAACAAAGCATTGTCTGCGGGCCCGCAGGTAGCTCATGGTTATACGCCTCGAACTTGAAGCGACGGCTAAGGCTATTACAAGCGTCAAGCGGATGGAACCACACTAGAATTCGAGTATTTCGGTGATTCGGCACAGATAACCTAATATATCGGCCAATAACATCTTCAACCGGTGGACCAACCTGCATCAAAATCGAGTGGTCATCGTCGGCTTCTTTAGTCTCAAGTCCTTGGCACCTTGTACTTCTGAATGGTAGTAAGTCCCCATGACGAATGGGACACTTCGTATTGCCTTGGGTCCACCAGCCAACTGCATACTCGCCGATTGATCCGCGAATCATGTGACAGAAGCGCTCTCTATTGGACAGCGTCACTCCGCATGCTTGGTAGGCTGTTGCAGCGACCGGTGTTGTTCCATCGGTGCATTGTGTTCTGATCAGGACTGCTCGAAGGGGAAACAGCTGTCTTCTCCAGATCACAAAATGCTTGATTGGATGAGCAAGCAAGAAATCAAAGCTTGGCGGCTGTGGTCGAACCGTGACAAAATCACAGATGTTATCACATTCATCCTGCCAAAGCATATTGAAATCTTCTCGAAAAATGGTGAGATCGTTCCCATAGTACTGCTTCTGTCGCGCCTCCTGTCTGCAAGATGGGTATCCGGCAAACCAAACATTCGCAGTCCAGTGACTGCCTTCATCAGAGGACAGTGAAAAAGAAGCACCCGGGAAGGATCTAATCACATTCAGGCTGATTCGATTCGGTAGCAAATCTCCACTCGGCTGACGAGGCACTAGATTGTCAGGGCCTGTCACAAAATGTGGGCAAAAGTCATGCACAGCACTCAGAGCGGTATGGTATCCACTCGATGCACAGGAAGCAGCAGAAATGTCACACACATGCTCTTGTGGCAAGAGGGTCCTCTCAAAACCGAGGTCACCTTGGATCAAAATCGGACAAGACATACCATCTTCCTGGAGGCCTGAAGAAGCAGAACTGGCACTGCAGGAGCAAATGTCATCAACCTCAGGCATGGGCTGCGACCAATTCGGGGCGTCAACACTGCTTTCATCAGCCAAACTATCAAAGTTTGCCCTTCGTGCTTCAGAAAGAACGCCAACAGCCTCAGCAGAGGCTAGATTGATAAGCAGTAAAACTGCCATCGTCTTCCTAGTTGTCCAGGTTTTGCATCGTCTCTGGTCAACTCTATTGCCTGCTCGAAGCCGGCATTTGAATCGAAATCTTGGTCTGTATTCTTCGTGCAATCGCAGGAATGAACAGACTTCAAGAGAGAAATAGACACTTGCCATGAAATAAAAGTAGCCCTGGAGGATCTGCACACCTCCAATAGCTTGCTGGCAAGCCAGATCATCTTCCGCAAGCTCCAAAAGACACAGCGATCCCAAGCAGCAAATCCTAAGGAATGTTTTGCAAAGTCTCCCCGAGTCTAAGGGCGGCCAGAAGTACAATCTTCGAATTGGTCGCTTCCTTTGAAGGAAGGTTCGACAGGCTGTCACAAACTCATCAGCACAAAATGCGCTGGAAACGGCAACCGCCAAGACACAACTGAGCACCAGGCACTGCAAAACCAAAGGAAAATAGCGGCTGGCCCTTACACAGGACCAGCTACTGGCCTTGCTGTAGTGCCCACTGGAATGGAGGCACCCCAATCCAGAAAAGGCCGAAATGAAGCAAACAGGATTCCACCCCATCGGAATCTCCACTTCTTTCTCCATCAACTCACCACGTCCAGAACCAGGGTTGGCAACAAATGGTCCACCCCAAGTGTCAGGCTTATATCTCTCAGACAAGACTTTCTGACCCAAAGAAAACCCGTCCTCCACAAAAACTAAATGATTACTGACTCCATCCAAGGCACCACTCGGATATTCAGCGATCAAATGGTTCGGCTCCTCGACACAGGGAAATCTGCAGCCTTGAAAAACGGCGCAAGATCTCCCAAAGAAGTCATAGTTCACGACATACGCTCCATAGCAGGAATCCTCCCGCCATCTGGCGTCATTACAGCTGGTGGATTGCCTAGTCCCGGAGGGCTGTATGGCCCATCTCCCAACTTTTTGTTTTTCACCTGTGACTTCCCAAAAGGCTGGAGCACCGGATGAGCCTGGATTGGTAGATGCTCCATCCCTGACCGTCCGCCCCGGGACTCTTCCATCTCTTTGCTCAATTCCACTTCGACACAAGCATTGAGCATCTGAGTATGGGTGGCAACAATCATGTTGGAGACAGCCTCCCACGTCACATATGCATCTGGGTCTTGATGGATGGTCTGAAGCACTGCCATTTGGCATTCTTCGGGATACCTGGCCAGTTCGGTCTTGAGCTGCTGCGACTCGTAGTCCGGAGCGATCTTTGGTTGCTTGGCCGCTCGACGCTCTGCATCCGGGGTGCGTGAGCGCTCTCGGCCATCTTCCTGCTTGACCTTGGTCAGACTCCTGCCTTCGGTCTTTTCTTCCTGAAGGACTATGCCAAGCGTCTTTCTGCGGCTCTTCACGTCCTGGTCCGGCGAAGTCACAGTAGGAGGCGTTGTCAGGGTCGATCCCTGGATAGCACTCACCAAACCCATCATCTGGGCTTGCAATTGCTCCATCATCTGAGTCTGTCTCTGCTCCTGCTGCATGGTATAGGCAACAACATCTTGCATTTCTGACCTCAAACCAGTCAGTTCTTGCTGCAGTCGTCGATTCTCTACACGCAGCTCTGCATCTTCGCTCTCTCCTGCTCCCTCCGAGTCGACAGGAATGGGTTCGATTCCATCCCGTTGTCTCTCTAAGGACTTGATCTCCGCACTGATCTCCGCAAGCTCGCTGGAATGCCTTTTCTCTTCTTTGCGGATGCCTGACTCGATGGTCTCTTTCCAAGACTGGAAGCTCTTGGACTTCTTTTCCATCGTGTCTTTGGCTTTGTCGAGCTTGTTGATCTTCTTCCGCTCTTCGTTCAACTCCTTTTGTCGGAGCCGAATGCTCTCTCTGGGGTCTATCTGCACTAACTCTTTGACCGAGTCCGGGATCTTGGCCTTCTCCTCGTCGGTGGGGGCAACTTTCTCCAGCATGTATCTCATTGCATCTTTCAACCGTCGGTTCTCTGCCTGCATCTGTGCCTCTTGCGAGGTAGATTGCGAAGATGCCCAAGAGGAGCCAGATTGCTCGTCGACCTCCACTGCTTTCCCATCGTAGCCGACCAAAAAGACATTCTTTTTTCCTTTGGCCTTGGGATCTTTTACTTCCTCTTTCTTCCGATTGCCTTTCTTTTGCGGCTTCTCCCAGTCGTACCAGTATGCCTCCTTCTTCCATGACATCTGTCTGGCAATCGAAGGCACTGAGTAGACAGGTCTTGTATGATGCCGTTCAAGGACTTGGATTGCACGGAGAGTCCGTGCCCTGAGAGCCGCAGAGACCTGAGACCTGGCCTTGGCTTTCCAGATCACCCTCCGCAGCTTCGCCCGTTTCGCTCTGGCCCGACGATGCCACGTCGGACTGCCAGCAACTATGGCTTCGGCGCGATCGATCGACCCTGAAAAAAGACAGGGTCTGGGGCCACGAAAATTTCCAGCTTAAACTGGCTAGCTCGAGCCCTATATTTTCACCAAACCAAACAGAAAATGCAATTAAATCTATTTGAAATTTGAAAGGTGCAATGAACGCAGCTGTCACAAAGACCATACTTTAAGGGAAGGTACACCTTTAGGCACACAAGCGCATTGTTTTTGCAAAAGCACGCAAACCAAGCGAATGCTGACAAGCAAAGAGGACGCTTGTCGTACACGAACGATGCAGGAAACGCAGCGTCAAGCAAGCAGATGTTTATTGCACCTCGAAAACAATTGTCCACCAACACCAAATTGAAATGCAGTCGCAAAATTTAGGCACAAAGTTGCAATCAAGTCCAATATCCAAGCCGAATGCGTGTGCCGGTGACCACGAAGCACTTAAGGAACGTTCGCCCCTGCCCAAATCGTCTGTTCAAGTGCGTGTGCAAAGTCCATACATCTAAAGAACATAATCAATACAACTAAAACATGACCGAGACACCACCACAAAAACATGACCCCTAAACATCACCAAGACACCGCAGAAACATGAACGAGCTACCACGTAATTATGACCGAGACACCACCTAAACATGACCGAGACACCACCTAATCTATTGGGAACAAAAATGCCAGAAGTGCTATGATCTTCTGAAGATTGTGCACACTTCAAGGAATGTGTGCATGCATGTCCAGAGGGACAAAGCTACCTCTACGACTTTCCAGTTGCAAAGGGGACTGCAACGGGGATTGAATTGGCACTGTCATGGCTCAAAGCTAAGCTAGCTCACCTCCCAAACAGCTCACACATGCAAAGCTGCGAGCGGCCAATTTAAGTTATCACTTGTGCGTGCAGAGCACAAAATCGAATGCTCCAACTACGCTGCGTCCACCACATTACAAGTGACCCCACATCACATCACCACATGTCACACCACCACAGTGCATTTCACCGCAGCACAAATCACCACAACAGTTACTCTATATTTGCTTCCAAAGCTTCTACCAACATGCTTGGAGCTCCCTCTACAACATTCCATTCTCGCGTTCGCCACATGCAGCGCCTCGTCATGAAAGCGAACCTATTTCAATCTGCTTGGAATCTGAGGCTGCAGGCAAGCCAGCTTGTTTATATCCTGCTACTTATTATAGGAACTAATGATAACGTGGAAGACTCTGTTATTTCTTGCCTTGAGATGCTCACAGCCCCAGGTGCCCCTTCGGCCTAATGAGATAAGTCTCGGAACCCTTCTTCCGCTGCAAAGTCGCATCCAGCTGTGCAGCGCTGCTGGTCCTCAGCACTCCACAAGTGGATTGGAGAAGCTGAGCAGCCGAGCAGCTGGCATTGATGCCATTGACCATTTGATATCATTTCACCGCAATGATGTGAGAAGCCCCTTACAAAGCAACCATTATTCAAATTGCATAAGCAACATTGGTAGTTGTTCATTCATCGCAACCAAAATCGCTACCAAAAGGTGTTCGAGCATCTGCAGCAGGAGGCAGAGAAGCAAGGCCCTGACAAAAAACAGTTTGCTCTCGCTTGTTCACTGTCACACGAAATCATTTCTCACAACAGTGAACAAGAAAGCAAATCAATATCAGTCTGGAAGTCGCTGAGATGACAATCATCCCTTTCATTCAAATACCCAAACTGAAAAGGAAATGGGGAACAAATCGCCTGTGGATTTAGCGTTGACGACAACAAACAGTGGACGCCACCACTAACATTGGCCAGTGTACACGGCCCGAGGCCAAAACAAAATTGGGGCTTACCCAAGGACACAAGGAACAATTTGCCATAACATTTAGATTAATTTAGATTGGCAAAGCCCGAAAAAAAAGAACGGAAAACCACAGAGAATGCTGAGAAAACCACAAATCGATTATGGATCAACAAACTCCCGAGTGATCCAACATTGCAGGAATTCTGACAAGCAAATTCTGCAGCCACATGTCTTCTGTTTCCATTGCACATCTGTGATTTGATGGCGGAACTATTAGACTTTCCATCAAAACTAGAAACAAAGTTAGAAAGTTAAAATTGTGCAAATAATTTGTTGTCGGCCTGGAGGGCGCCATGAGGCACGTCTGACCTGCAGCAAAAATGGGTCACCAAAAACAACAGTCAAAATCAATGAGGTGCACCTGTGACACAAATTCAACGAACACAAACTTGACAAGAGTGTTGTTTGAAGCTTGTGTGTCCACCTTTGCCCATGCGCATCGCAATAGCTTTGACAGTCCGAAACATTGAGTTTGGCGATGCATCAGTTTTTTTTCTGACTCCACCATGGTTCAACGAATCCGTTCACTCCGTTCGCCTCGCTTGGTCACACTGTTCGGTACCGGAGGATTCCTGAAGCCCAACAGGCACGAGCCACCCAATTCGACAAAATGGCACACCTCGGCCTGCAATAATCAAAAAGTAGCCACACAAGATGAAACCCACGAACACGATGTAACCCACATGCACACACGCGCTCGAAAACAAACGGCCAAACATTGATTGACACTCTTGTGGGGCACTCTTGTAAGAGACTCTTGCAGGCGGCGCTCTTGTGGGACACTCTTGTAGGACATTCTTGTGCTCTTGTGGGACAGACAATCTTGTAGGACATTCACTTTTGTGGGACACTCTTGTAGGGGACGCTCTCGTGGAAACCTCTTGTGGAACACTCTTGCGGGACACTCTTGTGGGACACACTCTTGTAAGATGCTCTTGTGGATAACTCTGGCAGTGCGACGCTCTTGCGGCACCCTCTTGTAAGACACTCTTGCGGAGAACTTTTGCGCACACTTTTGTAGGACACTCTTGTGAAGCATTCTCGTAGGACACTCCGCAGCGGACACTCTTATTAGACGTTTTTGTTTCATCCAAACTTCACGCGTCAAGTCTCCAAAACAAGTGTTTCGGACGAGACTTCCACTCACGTGTCAAAACGCAAATCCCACTCTTGCAGCAACATCCAACACTTCCAACAAACCAACCTGTGAACGCCAATCCCACCGTCACAGCGAAGGAAAACTGAGGATTTCGCAAAACTCTGCACATGCGCAACAAAAGCATGTTCCACACACACTCCGACATGTTACGTTTCCATACGTTTCCATGCTATGGCACTCGATCACTCCAGTCGGTATTGTTTCTGCATTATTTTTGTTTTTGTGTCCCTGATAGTGTTGATTGCATTTGTTTTGTGAAGCTTGGGTGGTGCGTGTGTGTTCTTCTGTAAGTTCAATTTGAAATTCCACTTGCCAATAAAACCATCAAAATTTGATCCTGTTTCCTGATCAAGAACCTTTGTGCATTGTGACCCGCTTTTTGTGTATGTCAAGTCACTGTAAATTTTCTATTGCCACTTGATCATGTAAACACTCCTGCTGTTCCACCCTTCGCTGCGCAAACACCCAACCTTGCAGTCAAGGTGTCATGTCATAGTGCATTTTTGTGGCAAACTTTGTTGCATCTGGATGTGAAGCTGCTGGTGGCCCCCCCGGCGCACCATGGAATGCACAGCATCAGCCTTCATAGCACAAAAGGAAATATTGGAACTATTTTTCTTGATACTCAAAAGGCTGCCGTATGGTGAGAGAATGACAGCATTGCTGTGCAATCACACTAGGGAACGGGGTTCCTTCAGGTTGCTCCTTCTGGGTCGACCTCATCTGGCAGCTAAGTTCCTTTTTGCTAAGTAGTTTGCTGCATGTGTTTCTGAAATCATATCATAGTTGATTTTGCGCGTAGAATATCTGCATTGATGGCTGCACAATACCTTGCCTACCTTGGGTGATTGCCTCCTGGGCTGCTACTTGGTAGCTATAGAGGGCATGCATAGCCACTTGCTCTGCTGCAAGTCCTAAATCGGTAGCTGCGGTGCCAGCTTGCTCAATTTCTGCGTGCTCGGTAGCCAAATCAATCTCTGCAGTGGTTACCTCCTGCTCCTGTGCTCCAAAGGGGCTGTAGGATGGAGTGGCCGGGTCACTACTGACTGGTGTCCCCTGCATAGGATCTGGTCCTCCAGCGTGGCAGGCCGTTGGGCTTCCTCTGGGATGCTGCCCAGGGGCTGCACTGGTCCTTGTCCAACTGACTGCCGGAGCTTCTTTGCCTGAAATCTCCATGACCCTACTTTGGCTATTGGCCGCCTTTTGATCGGAGACTCAGAGATTGGATGAGGAGTCGTCATCATTGATGTCTACCCCACAAGGTGGGAGGGCAGTGCACTCCTCTTCACATTCCGGTGCCAGCGAGTCTGATGCTTTCAACACTTGGGAAGAGGAGGGGCGATTGCTGAGGCTTTCACCCTCTACCTCGTAGTCAGTAGCGTCATCGTCTAACCGACACAATATCGCTCGCTTCCCCCGATGCCATGGTGACATCCGTTGCCTCTGATGAGGGCAACGTGGCGACTGGGTGATCAGCCTCTTACTTCCGTTTCCGCATCTGACACTGCAAGCACCTCGGTGCCAGACTGTTGGCTGGGCCAGTAGCACCCTTGAATCAATAGACCTGCCGCCGGTGGTAGGGCAAGGTCCAAGCCAGGTGCATCCAACACTGGTTCCTGCCGCCACGCATCATAACAATAGCTTTTGCGCAGCGCCTCAAAACAGTAGGCTTGCGCCTTTCTGTCCTGTTCTGCCCTTGACTGGGGCTGATACCTTTTGGAGCATCCTACACTGCACCGTCGGCCTGGATCCTTGCTCTTGTGGAGCAGCCACCACTTTTCTGGCTGCCGACCATCCGGAACGACAATCCATTCCGGGGTGGGACTCGCATCGAGAGCCTTGCGCTGTGGCCAGGGAGATGAGGACCGTCCTGCAGGTAGGCAGCTTCAGCAGTTAGCAGGTCGGACTTTGTCGCTAGGACGAGGCGTAAGCGTCTCACCCTTCCCTCATGATGCTCTGCCAAGCAGACTGGGAGCGGGCCGACCCACAGCTCATGTGGCAGCAGAGCCGCCTGGAAGGCTGCAGTGGCTTCACTAACTGGGATTGCGTCCACCTTCAGGGCACCGAAAGCAGTAAGAGTAAGCTTGAGGGTGTCACTTCTATGTATGGTTTGCACTCCATGCAGGACAGCAAGCACTTGCAAGGCTCCTGGCATGCCTTGCATGTTGACCGGACACGCGAGGATCGTAAGATCTGTGGCGCGGCTATAGGCAACATTCGCTCGCGTGAAACATTCCTTATCGAAGTCCGCATTCAGCCCATTCCCACTTAGGAAAGAAGTCCGTCCATGGATGACCGGCTACTTTGACTGCAGTTTCGGCATTTGCTTGCTTGCCTGTGGCATGAAAGTAGTTTTGGAGGTTCGTGGCACTGGTGCGAGTGGTTGTAAGGGCCAACACAGCATCGCTACCCGCCTCTGCACATTGCAACTCTTCTTCAAGATGTTGATAAACCAGGACAGTTGGATTGTTCTGCGGGTCATGTAGTGCTTCATCACTCTGAGATTCGTGGCGCCAGTTGACAAACCGGAGGCCTGTAGCTACACAGTGATCTGCACGAATGGAGGCAGTGCCAATTTGCCATGTATCATGCATTCGGCTACACAACATTGGATACTGAATACCGATGAGGGGTTCATATACCTCCTGTGAGACCCGTGCGCTGGTTGGCAGCATAATGCTCCAGCGGTGCTGCCCGGCAACCCCCGATCGGCTGCGCTTTGTGCTTGGTGGAAGTCCAGAGGACTATCTGGGTTCGTGGCTGCATAGCCCAGGCCTATCAAAAGCCCTTCAGGCAGCTCCAGGTCAACTTGTCGGAATAACATAAGGCCAAATGCTAAAGGCTTGCCATAGCTTGCCATTAGGATCCTGTGGGGATTGCTCGAACCCTCGAGAGTGGCCGATGGCCAGGCTGTGTATCTCATACAAACAAGTGAATCGATATGTCCGCACAGCCCTCTGGAGGCGGGTCGCTGAGAAAGGGCTGCAAGGTACCTACTTTGGGCGCATCCCGAATGAAGTGCACCAAGACCTTATAGGGGACCTGCTACTCATTAGCAATGCACTAGCCGCGCCGCTCGCGCAGCTGTTTGCCTTCGTGGAGCAGGGCCACCCGCCGTGCGCTTTCATCCCAAAAGAGCACTTAGCCCTATATGCGAATCCCCTGTTTTGGCAATACGGTCTCCTTGCATTCGTCTCAGGGTGCTGTGCCTCCAACATTGACCTGCTCAAACGAGCAACAGAGGCTAAAACGGATCCCGCCAAACAGGAGGATACTAATGAGAGTGAAGTTGATGCGCTCACATTTATGCAAACTGTCATCATGTCCTTCGTGAGAGGAATGACCCATGGACAGCAATCTCCCAGTTCAGGTACTCCCTGCCCTCGTGCAGTCAATTATTGACCATCAGTTTCAACCAGCAGAGCTGAAAAGCGGCTGGGGATACCGCACTAGTAAGGGAGGAGCGGAAGACAACCCTTTCCTGGTAGCAGGTGCCTACCGGAAAGAGATGACATACAATAACGATCCACAAATGCCCGATACGCCGTGGACGGAAAGGGCCTATGCATCGAGGGCACTCGAAACGTCACTGGGTCAGTCTATGTCATTCCCATCTTTGCCCCAGCTAAAACTTTGTTTGGAAGTCCCTCTCTGGACTGATCTTAGCGAGGCCAGGTATCCCCCACCACACACTCACTCTGGAGAGTCAGACGCTGATTCAAGCATCACAGGCACAAGGGAACCTTCGCCTATGTATGCGCAACCAGTGCCAGTGGGAGGGGCCGACATTCAGGAACAGTCGGAGGAAGGGTCATCAGAAGAAGAGGACGCTGATGCAGACCCAACCTACCTCGTCCCGCAAGGGCATGGGCGTTTTGCCCTTCGCTGGTCTAGGCTTGCCACCGCAGCCGACAACTTTGCCAAGGGCAACGTCCAGACAGAGAGCACAATCATTGCTAATTGGCTGATCTCAGGGTTAGAGAACGCGATGAACAGAATGCGTCCCGGCAAGAACTCACGAGACTGAGTGAGGATGAACTTTATCGTCATTACCATGGCTATTCAAACTGCCGGGAAGAAGACCGACCATGTGTGTAGCGAGAGGGAATGGCAGAAAATGAGCTACTGGCTCACAGGGGATCCTACCTTTATCAAGAAACTGGCAATTCACCGCCAGGAGCCAAATGACAAGACAGTAGGGGCCAAAGACGAAGGGACGGGTCGAAACAAATCTCGTCGGGTTGCTCCTCCCGCAGGTACAGGTAGCTCCTCCTCCACTGCCCGTCTTCCTTATCGGAACCGACCTCCCCCTCCGCCTCCACCTAGATAGTGGGGTCCACGGTAAAGAGATCGCAATGGCTGCACGCAGTGTGAACCCCGGCCTATGGCTCTCTTCTAACAGTGAAAGAGGAGAA